CAAGGGAAATACTCTGAAAAGAAAAAAATAGGAATATCCAGAGCTACCATATCTGGTTGTAGACATCCAAGTAACCATAACACAACTGTCCCATATCACCAATCCTCATAGTGTGTGCTCCAAATAAATGGCGTTTCTTGCTCAAAAAACCTGAAGACACAACGCCTTAATAGCCTTATTGTGATCTGTTTAGCGTCAGGTTTGGGCTACATAGCTACCCTATGGAACGATCTCCCCGTGGAGATTCGTACCCTCACCACCCTCCAGACCTTCCGCACAGCCCTCAGAATCTGGCTATCCCGTCAGGCCTGGGGCTAAAGATTGTAACCCGCCCGAATGGTATGAATGTTGTGTTTTTAATTATGTATTGTCTTATATGTAAAAAGTCTGTTTTCCCCCCTTTCCTTTTGGATTGTAAGCCGCCCTGAGTCCCCCCAGGGAAAAGGGCGGCATATAAATAAACCTTCTAAATCTAAATCAATTACTGGTCTGTTGGCAAGGCTAAACATAAAGGGGGCAGGCTGGGCAGGCCTGAGAAAAGCAAGGATTTTGCTTACTTGCAGCTTCATGACGTCACCGCAGGCTGGAGCCCCCACCAGGCCAGTCCCCACGTTCTTCGCCGCCTTGTCCAGGGAGCCGACATTCCTGGGATTCTCGTAGTGATCTACCACCTGAAAGGGAAAATCCGGGGCGAAAACGGGACAATCCTTCAGGAGGCTGAGAGAATCCTCCTCATAGAAAAGGGGCAAGAGAAGCCTCCGGGGATAACAAGGGATTCCTCTCTTCCCCCTTTCAGCTTGTTTGGAGGTTGTGACAGGTGATTGACAAGCTCCCTTGATTGACAGGGGGTCTCATTTTCTTTTGAGCCCTGAAATAAGCGCTTGGCTTTATTTTAAGGGAGGTCTTGCTTATTTTTGAGGTGGCAACTGTGGCCACCTCATGGCTGCTGCTGTGCTGCGATATTTTCAGGGAGGGCTTATTTTAGCACATGGCTTATTATCCGGGGAGGGCTTATTTTCGGGGAAATGGGGTGGAAAGTGAGGTTGGGAGGCTTTTTCGCACCACCAGCGGCTGAAAAGCAAGCCAAGAAGGGATCCCAGGCAATCGGGACTCTTTCTGTCCCGATTGCCTGGGATCCCCCCCCCCCCAAAATCAGGATCAGGCCCAGCCGATCTTGGGGCAATTTTGAGTTTCGCTCAAGGCCCTTTTGCTGCTTTTGAGAGCGAGGCAACCGGGGAGAAGGAAAACTCGGCACCTCCGGCTCCTTCTTTTTCTTCTCCGCCCACAGGAGGCAGAAAGCGCCCGGCCCTTCCCTGCGTCTTCCCTTCTCGAGGGAGGCGGCGGGTGGACGGGGATCCTTCCAACTCCCCGCCCCACAAGCCCCAGCCCATACTCCCTTCCTCCCCGGTACAGACACGTGTCTATTTTGACGGGAACCCGCGGCCTCAAAGCCTTTTGACAGCCTGGGCCGTGAAAGGGGGCGGGGCTGCGGCTCCCGTTATCGGGGGCGATGGGAGTTGTAGTCCCTCCAGGAGGGGAGGGGGGGGGAGGAACGTCTCACGCCTCCGCTCTCCAAGCCCGGCCCACCTTCTCGTGGTAGCCGGCGGCCGGAGGAAGCCGAGCCAAGCCGGGCCTGAGGAGCGCCGCGGCCCTAAAGCCGCTCGCCCGCAGAACCGCCATCTTGTCCGAGTCGCAGTCGCTGTGGTGGGGGGGGGAGGGACGCACGCAAGGTCAACAACAGAAGGGGCGGGGCGACGCGCGCGTGACGCCATCACGGCCGCGCCAAGGAGGAGAAGGCGCGGAGCCGCCAAGCCACGCCCCCTCTTGGCCTTCGAGGAAGGGAGCTTAACCGCTCGCTGCCTGCCAGGTATTTCTTGCGCCGCTGAGGCCGCGGGGGAGAAAAGCAGCCGAGCCTCCGTGTTCAGGAGACGCAAGCGCTGCTTCCCCCCCCCACTCCTTCCCCACCCCCCGAATGAGAAAATCCGGGCGTTTTCATTTTATATCGGTTTTATTTCGTTTTCATTCTGCCCCCTCGTGGTGCGTGGGTTAGCCCCGCCCCCTCGTTGCACGGCGGGGGGGGGCGCTCGCTCCTCCCAGGGGTCTTTGCGGCAGCCAGAGACCGTCCCTGAGGCCCCCTTCCCCAGGGCTGTCCTCCGCGAGTGCCTGTCTGGAGCGGGGCCCAGCACTGTCCTTCCCTTCCCGGAGCTCTTCCCACGCCCGCTCGGCCTGCAGCGGAAGATCCAACTTCAGGCCGAAAAAAGCCTCTCTTTCAAGGCTCAGGCGCCCGGCTCTCTTCTGGCGGGATTCTCCCCGGGTCAGGCGCCGCTCGGGGCAGCCCGGAGGAGGCTCGCGGCGCGGAGGTCCTTCCAGGGAAGGCGGCGGCCGCCGGCGGGCGCGATGTCGGACGGGGAGGACGCGGACGCGGCCCTGTCAGCAGTCATCGAGCTGTTGGGGGAGGCGAGCGATTCCGACGAGCGCTGCCCCGCCGACGACCACGAGGACGAGGAGGACGATGGCTACGACTGCGACCGCCTCTATCAGGAGAGTTTGGAGGACGGCGAGATCGTCCGCCTGGAGGACCAGGTGAGGGGCGGGGCTTCTGGCAGGTGGGCCACGCCCACTCCCCCCTCTTTTCCCGCCCCCTCGGGTGGGGGGGGGCGCCCGGGGATAGGAATGAATTGTGGGGGGCAAAGAGGCTGCTCCTCTTCGCTAGGAGCCCCTGCCCTGCCCCGAAGGCCTTTGGAGGGGAGGGGTCGGCAGGGACCCCCTCCCTGCTTCCCCAACACGGCTAGTCCTCGACTTACGACCCCAACGGAGCCCAAAATCTCCGTGGCCGAGCGAGGCAGTTGCTAAAATACTGCTTTGCCCTGCTTTGCGACCTTTCGTCATTAAGTTAGCGACGCATTAGTGCAGCGTTTCTCAACCTTGGCGACTTTTAAGTCCCGTGGACTTCAACTCCCAGAATTCCCCCAGCCAGCTCTGCTGGCTGGGGGATTCTGGGAGTTGAAGTCCACGAGACTTAAAGTCGCCAAGATTGAGAAACGCTGCATTAGTGTAAATTCACCGTGGTTGCTAAGTTAAGTCACCAGGTCGTTAAGTGAATCTGGGCCTTCCCCGTCGACTTTGCTTGTCGGAAGGTCGCAAAAGGGGATCACGGGAAGCTGCAGCCGTCGTAAATGTGAAGCCAAAGTTTTTGCTTGTTTTTTCCTGTGTATTTTTTTTATTTTTCCATCACCACTTTTCCCTCATTAATATTACGGTGTGTCATCTGAGTATAATTTTTTGTGTCATCACATTTAACATTTACATCATTTTTAATATATTCTTATCTTTCCATTTACCTTTACATTTCGATTGCTTTTTAATAGCAATAGCAGTTAGACTTATATACCGCTTCATAGGGCTTCCAGCCCTCTCTANCTGCACTCTAACCACTGCGCCACCGTGGCTCATAATCACCATTTGAAACCTTCTGACAAGGAAAGTCAATGAAGACGTCACATTCACTGAACAACCGTGTTACTTAGTTAACAACTGCAGTGATTCGCTTAACAACCGGGACAAGAAAGGTTGTAAAACTCACTGAACAACTCTTTTGCCTACAACAGAAATTTGGGGCTCAGTTATGGCTGTAAATCAAGGACTAACTGTAATTCTAGTTTTTGTTTTGTTTCTTAAACAAACTTCGGGATCATGAAGTTGGAAGATTTGAAGGTGACGGTGAATTATTTTCAGATTGCATCTGATAAATAGCGAGTGCGAATTCTGATGTACTAGCCCTGCACTTAATCTAAGCCCTCACTTTTAAATACTTCTCTAATGAATAAGTAAAGCTCCACTGATTTTAATCCATAGTAGGAAAGTACATATTGATGGAACAGCAGGAAACCCGAGTGTTGGAAGCATCAACACTCTCTGATTTCATGCTGTTCCATCAATATGTATATTGATGAGATTAATTAGTGTTTGTGTTTCCCCCCCTCTCTGGCAAAAGTTAATTTTCTTAAGGGCAAGGGGGGGGGGGGAAACCTGAACTGTTTAAATGCCATAAGAACAGCTTCTGATTTTGACACATGTTGATTAGTAACTAAATTAATGGAATATTGTCACAAGAAATCATTTTGCATTTGAGATTTACTATCTGGAATCTTTGGGTGTGTGCTGACCCCTTCATGGACAAGTAGTTAATTAATTGATTGATTGATTGATTGATTGATTGATTGCCCAGTGCAACCAAATGAGCTTTAATCATAATCTCATCACCCTGGAGCTGAAGGGGGAGAACTTTGTTATGTAGAATAGATTGACCCAGGCTTTTTAATGGCCCATTGACAAAGATGGGGGCTATTAAGAGTGAGTCTGCTTCCTGCCTAAAAAACATGTTTCTCCATTTCT